CTGGGACCTGGGGTCAGACCTGCAGTGTGGCCGTGCAGCCTCCCAGGCCCAGCCCTCCCCAAAAATCCTCCCCCACACTCCCCAGGGAGGCTGTGCTGCCTCCCAGCACCAGGGATATTGTCACAGGGGTGAGCAATGTGCCTGTGGCACCTCAACAGCCGCCACTATTTGGAAATAAATTAATTATGCATGAGCTGGGGTCAGGAGAGTCACAACATTAGTTTCTAATTATTTCTTATTTGCTTTCTTAGAGGCTGAAAAAACATCCTTTGGAACAGAGACACTGAGGTTTGAAAGGTGTCTTTGGCCTGCTGGCAGTCCTGACACAGCCTTTTTAGAATAACTTTGTCTTTATAAATAGAATTTGGGCTTGTCAGAGCTGCTTTTTGGGTGCAGAGGAGGGGCTGAAGGAAGCACAGGAGGGACTGGAGCTCAGCTCAGCTCCCTCCTTGTGCTGTAAAGCCAAAGTGCTGTAAGTTTTGTGCTGGTCATTTGTGGGGGAGTTAATTGTGCTGCAAGAAGGAGTCTTACACACTGAGTAAACAGCTCAGCCCACCTTTAATAAGCAGTTGCAGCTTCTCTCTCTTGCACTGGTGTGAGTGGACAGGTTGGCCCATCAAAGGGGTTCCTTTCCATGGTGTGTTTCTGTGCCTGACAACAACCCCAGAGCCTGAACCTGCTGCTCTGTTTGGGTGGAAAACAGGCCAGGAGGGACTTGTGGGGCTGCAACGAAGGGAGGAAAACAGGATGTGCCTGGAAATGTGGGTGGGTAAAGCAGAGCTCTGGAAGAAACAGTTGTAGGACTACTCAGGGGGTGGTAGTTTTACTAAAGGTTTTACTAAGGGTTTTACTAAAGGTAAAACTGCCTGACTTGATGCAGATGAGGTACAGAAGAGCAGGCAGCACCCATGGGATGCAAGAACCTGGGAGCAGCTCCTTTTCTGCATTGATCCTGAAGAAATCAGACCTCTCCCCACAGCTTGTGCCTGTTCTTGTAAAAGAACTGTTTTAATAAAGTCAAACCAAAGGGGTTTGCACTTGCATGAGCCAGTTAATCTGTCCCGCTGGAAACAGAAGGATTGATTGAAAGACAGAAGAAGCCCAACCTGGAATAATGTTGTAAAGCATCTTTATTAGTTCACTACAAGACTGGAAGTACAAAAGCTTCCAGGCAAAGCACTGCCCAGTGAACAAGACGCACAGGAAAAATGCTCAGGAAGTTGCAAACACCCAGTGCTAAATAACAAGACTTTCAGCTGGGCAAGAAACCCTTCCTGGTGTCCTGTATTGCCTCACCATGCCTGAAACTTGCTCCCATCAGACAGGGAAGCCCCTGTCCAGGAGCAGCCAAGGCTCAGCCCAGGCTCAGGGAGGGGGGTGGGCTGGGGTGAGGCCATCACTCCCACAGCCACCCTTGTGCGTGTGCAGGGTCCTGGGGCAGCCCCTGCTCGTGGCACGAGGCTGCTGGGCCCCAGGGGTGCTCTGAGAAGGGGTTTTTTACTCCGTGGGGGACTGTGTGTGATGCCATGTCAGAGGTGATGGGACCCAGGCTCGGGTACTCCGGATGCTCGTGGCGCGGGCGCGGCGCTCGCCCGCCTCTAGCAGCTCACCCACCCCTCCAAAATGCACGCAGGCTTTGGAGTTAAAACCACCTTGATGCTCAAGTCTAACTCACAGGGCAGTCTAATTTTGCTGTCCAGGTGGTAAAACGTGCAGGAATATTCCTACAAATGTGCAAAGCTTCTCCTTCTCAGGTTACTGCTGTTGCAGTACTTATGTCTGGTTCTACCTGCCTGGAAGTACTTAATACTTCCAGATACTTCGAGGAGAAAAATGCCCTTAAAGTCCAGGTGGTTGTTTAAAAAAGGCACCATTCGATGTTTTTAATGCTTTTAAACAAAGAAAAGCCACTGCACTCACCCCTCCCCTTTTTCTAGCTCGTAAATGTTTTTACCTTACATTATCACTAATCATTGCTAATAATAAATCAAAGAACAGGTGACCAAAAATGGTGACTGCTTGCTCTGGAAATATAAACGGGAGGGGAAGGTTTAGTTTTGCTTTTCTAGGACCCCTCTCACTGGGGCCAAGTGCAGGGCAGCCCTGGGGTTTGTCCCCTGCCAAGGCTGCAGAGGCTGGTGTTGGCCACAGCCGAAATTTCGAGGCGCTGTCTGTGTGTTCTCAGGCTGCACAGCCTCGTGCTGCTCCCCTGCCCGGGGAGGTGACATTGTCCCCCCACTCTGCTCGACAGCAACATCCAGAGGGCCCTGCACAGCTCAGGGCCCGTGGCAATCCGGGGTGGGGGGGGTGTTTTCCATGTGTCCACATCCCCTCCGTGCAGCAGCTTTTCCTCTAGCGCCGGGCAGGGCCCCCCGGCTCCCCAAACCCATCTGCCGGGGGAGCGGCACCTTCAGAGCAGGTCCTGGTGCCTGCACTAACAGGGTAGCCTGTGGCCACGCTGGCACTGGGACAGTTCACCAGCTCCCACAACCACGACACGAGTTGATGATGCAAGGGGGGAAGAGTGGAGGCGCAGGGAGAGCGTCCCGGGGGGTTACTTGTCAGCCGCTGCCTCCTCCAGCTCGTGCGGGTTCTTCCCGTCGTTCTGGATCAACCGGACGATGTGTGTCAGGTCCAGGCTGCGGGTGAGGATGTCCAGCAGCATTTCATCCTTCTGCACGCCCTCCATGAACTCTTCCAGGGACAGCTCACCTGCGGGAGCACGTTCAGGAAGGGGCTGTCAGATCCTGCAGCCTCTCTGACGGTGTCTCAGCAGCCCCCCCAGCAGTTGTACAGACTCTAAGTCTGGGGTCTTAAATATGTGAGTTGTGCACCCCAAACCCCGCCACAGATCTCCCCCCCTGCCAGCAGGACAAGGGGCAGTTTGCAGTGTCCCCTTGGGCCAGCTGCAGCCCACAGAGGGCACAGGGAGCTCAACCTTCACAGAGAGCCACCCTCTGCCAGCTCTCCCCACATCCTGGTGTTTTGGGACGCCCAGCACCTGGAATTGCTCTGGCAGGTAAGGGGGAAGGTGGGAGCATTGGAATTGCTTAGGGGAGTCCCTCACCATCTCCATTTATATCGATTTTGTCGAACACCATGTCTGTGAACTCCTCAGCCGACATCGTTTCGTTGCAGCGGTTGATGGCTCGGATGGCCTGGAGGGAACAAAGGACACAAGGGAATTACTGAGTGCTCTGCAGGTTGTGCATCCATCAGCACAAGTGGCCAAGGGACCTGAGACACCAGAGACCATGAGAGGCTAAACTGTTTTGCAGGCAGTTAGGTTTTGAAAGCAATAAGTCTTGTCTAAAAAAACCTGGAGTTTAAAATCACTTCCAAAGGCAGCCAATGCTTTACAAGATTTAGTGGCCATGCTGGGATAAACCAGGAGCTGCTCACCTCTGAAAACCCTTAGTTTAAATTCAAGTGCTTATCTCAGTCCAAGTTTCAGTGGATGGGGTTAAACAGCCAGGAGAAGACCAGGGGCTGCTGTGTGTCAGAGTGTGCAGATGCCATGGGAGGTGTGGGATGTTGGAGACAGGTCCACCAGGGAGGACTGGCAGAGGACAAGTAGCAGGTTTGGCCAGTGCCTACTAATTTACCATGGAATTAGCTGGGTTGGAATGTTCCTCTTACAACCTCTCTGTCTACCTGCCTGTAATGACCACCTGTGATAGAAATGGAAAAGCTGAGCCCACTCACTTTGATGATGTTCAGCAGCTCTCCCCGGTCAATGCAGCCGTTCCCATCCACATCATAGAGCTTGAAGTACCACCTCAGCTTCTGGTCCACCTTCCCTTTCAGGACCAGGCTCAGAGCTGCCACGTATTCCATAAAATCTATGTAGCCATCCTGAAAGCAGAAGGTTAGAAGCTAAGGTGAGATTAAAAGCAGAGAGTCAGGCAGTGTGTGATTTTCCTGGTCACTTCTGGAGGTCCCTGCTGGAACTGGTCCCCACTGGTGGCCTCCACCTTGAGACAGGGGCTTGTGGAGCACAGCAGAGGGCAGGGGGGTGTGGGTCCCCTGCATGCCCCATGGTTAAAGCCAGGGCTCCATGTTAATCTGTGCAGAGCCATTACAGAATTAGAGAATCACTGAAGTTAGAAAAGGCCTCCAAGATCATCAAATCCAACCTCGGACCGTTATTTGTTGGGAAGGAATGAACTCGGTGGGTGTTCCTGGCTTGGGCACTAAGGAAGCCTCCAAAGCCTGTGCTCAGGGAATCTCTTTATGCAAAGCAGTGGTAATTCAGGGGTCAAAGAGGCACAGGCTTATGCAGATGAGTCCTGATGGATTACACAACCTCATCCTGCCTGCACACACCTACAGCTCTTTTCTGCTGCAAGGGGGTCTTGGATGAAAAAAATCCCAGAGAGGAATAACATTAGGAGTCACCCCAGCATGCTGGTGACATCTGGGCCTAGATGCTGCTCTGTCCCTGTGCCATTTCTGTATTTGCTTCACGTTTGGTCACGTCAAAAGCACAAACACTTTTATCTTTGACTTTCCTCTGAGGTGTTTGCCCACCTCCAGCTCCTGCCAGACCTTCAGCTGGACCCACAGAGGGCTCGCTCCCAGGGCTGTAGATCACTGCAGAGCTGCTGGGATGAGCTCCCAGGTCACCAGCCTGCCTCCAGACACTGCCCATGATGTTCACAGCTCCTGTAAGCTTTGCTGAAGTGCCTCCTGCCCACCACAGAGCATTGCCATGGCCCTTGGAAGGAAAATGGCATGTGGGACGTGGCACCCTGGAAGTGCTCAAAAGGATGTGGCACCTGGGGATGTGGGTTAGTGGTGAACATGGAGGAGCTGGGTGAAGGCTTGCACTTGATAATCTTAGAGAGGTCTTTTCCAAGCCTAATGATTCCATCATTCTGTACTACCAACCAGGGACAGGTCATTAGAGCATAAGCCAGGGGTTTGTCAATGAACAAAGCCAGGGCTCCGCCGGGTGGTTCAGGAGGAGATCATCTGCTTTATCCCACTGCTGCAGGAGCCAGATTAGGTATAAATAGCTGCTAAGCCCCATTCCCAGCAGGATTTCCAGTGCATCAATTCCCTTTTCAGGCATGCATTGAAACATGGGGCAGTGAGCAAGGTAAAGGCCAAGGCTCAAGCAAACACCTGAAGGATTTGGGGCCTGATTTGCATTTTTTTCAATGGGATTAGGGCCATTAAAGCCTTTGAGTTGCAATAAAACATATTCCTCATCTCACAGGAGGTGCAATTTCAAATCATTTGCAAGTAAAGGAGGATGTTGTTTCCTCTCAGAGACTCAGCATCCAGCTGCTCTTCTGGCAGCACTCCCAAACGTTTCCAGGTGCTCCAGGACTGCCCCGTTCTGGGGGTCCAGCACAGCAACAGCCCAAGGAGCAAAGCCTCCCTCCCCACAGGGAACAAAGGACCTGAGCTCCTTATCACAGGGGACAGAGTACATGGCAAAAAAAAATCAATGAAACTAATCCATTTATAATTTAAAGCAATGCAAAACAGACCCGAGCTGTTCTGTAAACTGTGGCTCGTGGCTTGGGAACTCGCTGTCTCTGCATGAATGCAGCCCTTGTTCTCACACCACTTGTTCCTTACTGTCACAACATTTGATACTTAAGGATTAAAGGGCACTTCATTTTAAAGGGATCACAGCCTGCCAGATAAAACCCCACTGTTTTAATCACTTAAAACCAAAAGGAAAATATCAGCTCTGGGAGAAGTCTGCTTTCTCGCAGAACAGGCAGCGGGTGAAGGGTTTTTTTGCTGGCATTTTTCACCCCCCAGAACTGATTTTGCAATTTATGAGGCCACAGAAAATCAGGCTGTGCATACTCAGGACGTTTTCAATATCACACACACCCAAACACACCGCGGGGGATCACAGGGAGCAGAGCACAGCCCATCCCAGCGCAGCTGAGCGGGAAGGACAATATTTACCTTATTGAAGTCAAACGTCTCAAACATTTGCTCAACGTATTTGTTCGCTGAAGGACTCAGGTTTTTCAAGCCAAAAAACTGTTTGAACTCGTAGAGGGTGAGCTGGCCAGAAGGACACTCTGTCATGAACTTCTTATACCACTGGTGGCACTCGGTGGTGCTGAGCTCCTCCACGGTTTTCCCGTCCATGTTCCCCATCTCCACACCAAGCACTGGTGGCTTTGCAGCCAAAAAAAAAAAAAAAAAAGGAGGTTTTGTGAAGCCTGAGAATAAAAATTCTCAAAGTTCTGCTTCTTGCCTTCAAAGTTCAGATGCTCCCAGCACTCTGCAGGGGTCACAGTGTCAGGGAGAACCAGTTGCCTGGTGCAAGGGCTGTACCAATTCCGTGGTGGATGCAGAAGACACGTCCTCCTCCCGGGAAAACTCAAAAGCACAAAACCCTCTTTGGGCAAGAGGGTGACATTTAAGTACCCAGCAAATCCCTGCCCAGCCAATGAGGCTCAGGGGGGTGACAGGCTCCTGCCAGGCATTAAGAGTTCAGGGTTAAAATAGAAAAGAGGTAAAATGGGGAAGTCTTGCAGATTACAGGCCCAGCAGGAGATTAGGAGGTGGAATTTTCTCCTTGATGATCTAATCTCTTAATCCACTTCATTTATCATTCAGGGGGGGCAGGGGGGCAGACATCACATGAAAAATAAGTTTTACACCAAAATCAGAGAAAGAAGAGAGAAAACCACTCAGAATTCTCTGTGCTGTTACTGCCTTTTTGGTTTCCCTTCAGCTTGATCTGCCAGAGGATTCCAAACAGGGCTCTAGAGCCTGAAATTCAGGGAGGGGGAAGTACCACGTGAGCTCCTAGAAGAGATGCTTCTGAGGGTAAATTTGGTGTGCTGAGATAAATATAGAAACATAATTGCTTTAAATGGTAAAGCTTTAAGTGCTTTCATTGCCAGCACCAGGAAGGTGAAGGTGCCTCTCCCCCCCCAGCTGCAGGGTCCCAGTGTTCATTCTCCCTGGTTCTGATAGTTGGGTGTTTTCTCCTCAGAATTGTCCCACACTCTGCTCACCCCGGGAGTGTGTCCTGGTTGGTGCATTACCAGAACTTGTCTGACACCAGTGGAGTTAAATGCAGCTCCAGTTTTCATTTGTGATGAATTACCACGAAAAAATTCTCCGTGTAAATATGAGTAAAAACAACCCAGAGGAGAAGGACGGGGGGACAAAACACAGAACACAGCACGAGCCAAATCCTCCACTAGGATGTGACTGCTGGGTCTCTGCCCACAGGGAGTTCATCCCATAACACACATTTTTTTATATCTAGCAAGTTTAAAGACTTATCTGATGACTGAAAGAGCCCAACTCTTGTGTGGTTCAGAGCTCAGCGTTGCGTACGCGCGGAAGCGAAGTAGGAATAACTCTGCTAAAACAGGCAGGATTACACAAGCGTAAAACAGTTATGAAAAGGGAATTAGGCTGAGGAAGATAATTGGATGTGCTAATTCTGCGCTCACCGCCAGGTCCCCATCGTGCAAGAGGAACCTGGGCTCTGATCCAGCACCACAGGGGACACGGCTGGAATAGCCCCGGAGCACGGAGAGGGGCTGCAGGACTGAGGTGTTCAGCAGCAGCAGGAATGTTGTGCATTAAAAGTGGATACAGGCCCACCGAGTGTTTCAAGAAGCACTTGATGATGGTGTGTCCGCTTCTCTGGAGCGGGCAGTGCAAAAGCTGAACTGCTTTTGCTGCCTTCTGGAATGTGTGCCACAAACAGGACATGCTTTTCCAGAGAACACCACTTTGCCTGAGCCCGGGAAAGCCGAGTGAAAGAAAATGGCCTTTCAAAGAAGGAGTAGAATTTAGACTCAGACAGAGGAGCTGGTGAAATGAGAAGCTGGCTTCAAGCTGAGAGAGCTGGGAAGAGAAGGTTGTGTGGAGGCAGAGCAGCCTTCCAGTATCTGAAGGGGCTGCAAGGGAGCTGGAGAGAGACTGTTCATCAGAAAGTGGAGTGACAGGACAGGGACTAGTGGGTTCAAACTGAAAGAGGGGAAATTTATGTCAGATATTAGAAAGAAATTCTTCCCTGTGAGGGGGTGGTGAGGCCCTGGCACAGGTTGCCCAGAGAAGCTGTAGCTGCCCCATCCCTGGAAGTGTCCAAGGCCAGGTTGGACAGGGCTTGGAGCAACCTGGGCTAGTGGAAGGTGTCCCTGCACCTGGCAAGGAGTGAAACTAGATTGGCTTTAAGGTCCCTTCCAACCCAAACCATTCTGTGATTCTATGAAACCTTCCCAGGTTTTGCAGCCTGTGCTGGGGTTGGGCTGCTGCAGACGAGCTTGGCTGGGTGGCCACTCACCCAGTGCCCTGTGCTGCTGACACCCAGTGCCTCTGCACGAGCAGCTGCCAGTAAACGACAGGACAAGTTGGACCGGGTTTTTAGAGCAAAATCCACACTGCATATTTCTCTGGGGAGCAGTGACACAGCCTCAGCACCCACCCCTTGGCTCACGTGTTTGCTGCTTGTCATAACTCAGACACCAGTGGAAAACTGAAGTCACACCGGTTGCTGGTTTCATTGTTTGGGCTTTACTGCTTGGGTTTTATTACTTGGGCTTTATTGCTTGGGCTTTATTGCTTGGGCTTTATTACTTGGGCTTTATTGCTTGGGCTTTACTGCTTGGGCTTCCCTGGTCCCGACTAGAGCTTTTTGCTACGGAAGGGTCTCCATTTGCGAACGTCGGCAGGTTCCAGGTCCGTTTGTATCTTGCCATGGGTGGTGTCCTCTCGGAACTGGTACCCACAGTAGGGCCTCTGCACGGTGTAGAAGGGGCAGTACGAGTTGGAGAGTGTCCGTCGGTAGAAGACAAAGTTGAAGGAGCTGAGGGGACGTCCCCCGGTGTGGACAACAACTGGAACGAAGCGACTGGCCAAAGGCTGCTCCTGCTGCTGGTGTGCTGCAGGGGGCTTGTTCTTTGGGCTGGAGAGCTCCTGCCTTGCTTTGGTCTTCTCCATTCCCTTGGATCTTGTGTGGTCTTTGCCGGGGGATTCTGGTGTTTCAGCCGCCTGTGGCTGAGCCCTGGAGATTCCTGCTTATCCTCTGGGGCACCTGAAGCTTTGCAGAAACATCCTCCCTGTGGAGCAAAAGAGCCAGACAAAGGCATTGTAATATTGCCCCCATGCTTTGCCATCCTCATCAGTGCTTAAGGCCCCAGTGCAAGAGTTGTGTAGTGGTGGCCAAAACCACAAGTTAAACAGACAAGGAGGGCTTTTTACATTACAGTGCAAATGATGAGAAGTCAAGTATTTACATTTCTTTGGCTAAAAATCTAAGGTGGTGCTGCATAAAGAGAAAGGGAGTTAAAAATCCTGTGATGTTCTGGAAATATAAAAGCAAATTACTGGAAATAAATGCTGAGGGGATGCACATGATGAGACAGGGAGGACTTGATTCTCTTGACTGGCATTTCAGCTGGTTATTTGTAACTGTGCAGGGCGAATATAAGGTGCTTCACAGTTTCTGATGTTCCTGCTCTCAGTCTGACCTGGCTCACCCCTTCATCACTTTTAGGGGACACTGTTTTCCAACAGAGCCCCAGTCCCAGATCAGAGCCTCAGCTGTAACAGCTGTACATGACAGCAGCACACACTCCTTGGAAAGCCTTCACCAAACCCCAGCCACGGCAAACGAGGCAGGAAAATGGTTCAACACAATCTGACCCACCAGGGAACGGGACACAGCAGTGATGGCAGAAACCTGACACTGCCCTTTAGAGCCTGAGCATCAGCTCAGCAGCTCCGGGGGCCTCTGCAGGGACCTCCCACCACCCCGCTGGGTGAACGTGAACAGCTCTTGCTGAATCTTTACGTGGGTTTTCCCCCCTGAAACACAAAGGCACAGCATGGGGGACAAGGACAGCACAAACAGCCTGTTTTGCCCAAGCATTTGTAAGAACCCTTTGCAGAGGAGGGGGTGTGGACGTGCCCCAAGACACACATGAGGCTGAGTTGTGACCCACTGCTGCTCCAAGGCTGTGCTTGACTGCCAGGATATTTCTGCTGTTACCTAAGCATGACTCAGTTGTCTTGCTTTCATTGACGACACCTCTGTGCGAATGGAAACTGGCTCTTCCCTCAGCAATTAGCCACTTTACTCCTGGCTGTTCTAAATAAACACTCTGCTTTCTGCTTATTTTTAACCTTGTAAAGAGGTTTCCCAGTTTCCGTGACGTACTCGGTGCTCTATTTCCGTTCCCTGGCTCCTAAACCTATTAGCAGGGGAATGCCCACAACTCTGCAGATTGTTTAGGAATCTCCTTCAGGTGTTAGAGGGGAATCACCAGACCCCTACAGGTTCACCACCTCTTCTTGTCATTCCTTTCTCCAGGGTCATTCATTTCTCCAGCACCCGCAAGGCTGGAGCTCAGGCCACGGGTTATTTCAGCAGTTGCTGTCACAAGGAAACCTCAGTCCATTTTTTCCCCCAGGGAATAAAATAAGAGCAGATTTTGTACCACTGCAGTCATTTCAGTGTGGTTTGTGTACCCCTGCACTTAGATTTGTTCAGCAATGATTTTATGTTCACACACATGCACGCTGATAGCTCGTGGACATTCTCTCTTTGGAAGGGACAAGTACACACACGACTGTGCTGCTGCTGCTGCACCCACCCAGTGGGGAGCACTAATGTCATTAATCCCACGTACTTGGGGTGTGGAGGGGAGGCTGTAGCT